AGTTCACTTTGCAAAATGGAAAGTTACGAGCATAAGAAGGTAGAAATACGTGGATTTTTACCCGTTTTCGACCTTCGGACATTACTTTGGCCCCTTGTAAAGAAGCGATGGGGCGAAAATAAATCATTTTTATATTTGAAACATTAACACACAATAGTTCAAATCTTATAATCTGAATCATTTGAAATCCATTTCAGCATTTCTAGTTTTGGCCAAAACCCCGTAGAAGAATCACCTTAATTTATGCAATTTTTAAATTTTAAATAATGATAATTTTTTTTTATAAATTCCTCCCTCTTTGTTTTATCTGGATACAAGAAACCCTAGGTTTTTAAAGTACCAGCAGACCCATCTTTTATTTAGTTTTTTGCAATGAGCTTTGCCAGAGTTTAATTTTTCATATACAAATTAAATTATTTTTTATCTTGCATATTTATGGAATTAAAAATTGAACTTTACTGTTTAATTTTTTAACATGTTCACTGAGCAGCTTTTAATACTGTTAAGATATTGTCATATCAAAATAGGGTGTGGAAATTTTTTGAAACTTTTTACTTAAAGCGTCAGAATTTCAAGCGCCATTTGCGGATCAAAAGCCGAGGAGTTTAAGCCGAGGAAATTAATCGAGTTTGCCGCTGCAGGAGATGAAAACTAAACTGCCGGAGGCAATTTCGGAGACAAAGGCAAGAAACGTCGCAGAAATTTGGCTAATTCCAAGATCAGTCGAGCTGCCTGCGAAGCCGCAGCATTCGTTGGGGGGCGAATCGTGAGCGCCCAGAGAGCCGAGATAATAATGGGGAGAATCGGCGGCAGACACGACACAATTCTCTCCGCCATCCAGTGCGCGCGGCACCTCCAGCTATTGGGCGTAAGTTTCGCCATTTATCTGAAGGTACGGCTCTTCCTTAATTGGCTTCGCTTCCTGACTTCGCACACATCCCTTTTGTCGGCGGCGCGCGCGGGCCCGTTCGGCGCCCAGATAAAGAGACAAGCTCCACTTCTCTCCTTAATTTGCACCTCACCGTAATCGAAGGCCTGCAGTGCGCGCCGACCGGAGGGCGGATGCTGCATCGGACGCTTATGCAACCCGCTCCACACAAGGGATGAACTGGTTGCAGCTCTATGCTGCAAAAAGGGGTTAATATAGGGCAAATTGAATTGAAAAAAGTGTGAATTTGCCAAATTCACACATTTTTGTCCAAAACTGTAATGTCGGAATATTTTCAGGTGAAAATTAAAAAAGGAAGAATAACTCCATATGTATCCCTATGAAAATTTCAATTACTGAATACGACTCAGTAAGGATGACAAATACAGATAAAAAGTCAACTTGATATTAAAATATTAGTTATCATATAATTGATATTATTTATTGCATTCAAATCATAAAAAAATGAAATCAATTCAATAACAGTAAACAATGCAATTGAAATAAATGATGTTGAATTCCACTACTGGTAAGTTATTCTTGTTTAATTGAAATTATAATAAATAGAAATAGGCAAAAAAACAATCTAAGTCGTACTTTCTGTTTTTTTAATAATAAATTTGAATTAGTTAAGGTCTTTTTTCGTGATTATAATTAGTTTGATTAGATTTGTTAAAAGAAAATACCAAAATCATTAATCATCAACAAAATATTTTATTTTCCATTTTGATGGATAAAATTAAAATAACAAAAATCAATCTCGAGATCACTTCTTATAATAACAACTGACCGCCAACATTAATAAACTCGTCATAAATTGAAAGCAATTTTTTAAATTGAAATCAGTCTCTGACTGTATAAAATTTATTGTTTAATGTGATTTCATTATGGCAAATGATTCACTTTCAATTTTTGTATTTAAATATTTCAAATCGACCCCCTCTAATGAAACTCTCACTTTTTCACACCCTCCATAGTCCTTTGTCAAGTTTAATGGCCTCTAGCTGGCCCATATGCAGATGTTCCCAGATTAGAATACTAATGTTCTCCGGCGGGTGTCGGAAGAAAATTCAGGTCGCAGCAGCTCATTTCGCGGTCGCTTTTGACATCCGGAATCAGTTCCCTTGAGTAAAAAATGGCCGTGCGGAAGAAGAGCAGCAGTGGCAGGTTTTTTAGCGAGTCAGTCCGCGAGCCACGGCTGATTAATTGATGTGCGAGAGACCGTTCGTTCGTTTGGCCCCAAAGTTGGCTCTGACACACGCTGTTCAGCCCCTAGTGGTTCGTGGACGCTCTCTAGATAGCTGCGATGCCTCGTGGCGCTCACGCCGCGACTGGAATAGCAAATTTTTATCGCCTCCTTCGGCACCTGCTTTTTGTTCCAATGCCTTTTCTTTCTTAATTCGGCCCAAGGACTTCAAGGACAGAGAGTTAGAGAGTTTCCCTCCTTTATAGACAATAAATTTTGATCAGAATTTGTCCTATATTGGCAGATTTTAGTAATAAAGAAGGTCATCCAAAAATTATATATTCAATTCATTTTAAACATTTTAACTAAAAAAAGAAAAAAAAACACAATGAAAGTAATGATGTAAGAAAATGACACGAGAGTTTAACGAATACAGAACTTATTAAAACTTTGTAAGTTTTAAAGAACTTTTTTCTGAAAATATACACATAATGTGACATTTTTGGTGAACAACGTAAATTTTCCTTCAAGATATATAGGTTGAAATATGATCCTCAAGATGTAAGAAGCCCAAGAGGAGAAGAGGGTGGATTAATTTTTTTTTAAATTGATAATATCAGAGGGGTAGAAATGGTAGAATTAATTTTATTAATTTAATTTACAATAAAAAATGCTTTCTTAAGACAGTTTAACCTAAAAAATGTTAAATTCTAGTTTCTATTGTGCGTTTTGACTGATCTATATAGTAAAAGTAAATTATTCAGGCTTAGCGTATATTTTCCCACCTCTAAATATTATATTTTCTTAACTAAATACTTCCATCAAAAAGAAAAAAAAATAATTTTTATAGATCAACCAGATCAAATAGCTCAAAATTATTTAATTATTAGTCACAGTATAATTCTTACCTTTGCTAGTAAACCTAAAAAAATCTAATTCCTAATTAAATCTTATTGCCATTTCAGCTTACAATTAGATAAATTTGGAAATATTAGTATCCAAAGTAACATGAACATTCGATTCATATCATTTGAATAATCAAAACTTATCTTTGTTGCGCTAGAATGTCGTTAATCCTGCGGCTGTTTTACGTTGATTAATCACAGAGAGTAATTTATTGTTTGCGTTCCCTGACGAGTCGTCCGTCATCCGTCGCAGCAATTTCGAAGCAGTAGCAAGGGATGATTAGAATGCTTTCCTGGCCTCGTTTATGTACATCGGTAGGTGGATTGGGAGGTTCGTTCGCCCGAAAGATTGCCAGTCCGCTCGATCGGAATTTCAGATGAGGCCCACCCTCTCTATCGGCTGCCAGGAGTCCAATCACAGCGGACGGTCACACTCGGCTTATCAATAAAGGAAAGCGGCCGCCGGGTCGAGAGACAAGCCTGATTAATCACCGCCCAGCCACCGTCATATGCACTTGTGAATATTTCATCGGCGCCCCCGTCGCAGCCCAATTAGTTATTTATGCTTGCTTTGCTTCGAGTGACGACGAGAAAACTTTGCACAGAAAATATCACAACTTGGGCGAGTCGGGTTTCTAATTAAAATATGGTTTATTATGCAGACGAAGTAGCAATTTTGCACTGTTGCTTATTAATGGTTATTTTATAAGATTTGAACTTTAAAAAATTGGGCGAGTTTCATTGGCGTTTCTGTTGATTCGCCTTCAAAATAGATTCACTTCATTCATTGATAGAAATCAGATAAAAGCCCCCAAAATTTTTAATTCAGAGATGATATTTATTTTTTGGAACATGAAGGGGAAATTTTTGATTAAAAATTACTTCATCCCCTTATGAGTTTTGTGAAGTTTCTGAATTGATATAATTAAAAAGAAAAAATAAATTGCCTTTGTGATAGTTCAATAAACACAATTTGCAACTAAATTATCTTTTTTCAAGATAGAAGAGTGCTGATCGATGGTTATTTTTAATTTACTTCACGCTTATTTATTTTAATATTTTTCTATAATTTAAAATGTTTTCAATCAATTATAAGATAATGTATAATAATAGTAAATTGTTAATATGGGTTGTTGTACAGTGCACCAAGGTTACCGCTTCATCCGAGAGTTGGCGCGTTGCACCAAGCAAGCATTGCTAATAAAATGTTGAGAGTGCCGCTTTCTCCCGGTAGACTTCGTGACGGTCTCAGTTCAGTCAAGGTAGCTTCTCTTCATTAGGAACATTTCCTTAAAACGTCCAATTTAAAATAAAATTGATAAAAAAAATTTAATTTACAACTATAAGTTTCTTAAATTACCTCCTGCATTAAGCTGACCAATAAGTATGTAAGTAATTTATTTAATTTTGGAAAAATGACAACACCAGCTGAAAACCCGATGTATGTATTTTTTTTTTTTTAATAATTATAAACTCGGAACTTTTACCTACGTGCACGTTTCAGTACTTAAAAATTAGATACTAGAATAGTAAAAATGGAGTAGTTTTTATTTTTATATTCATTTCATTTGAGAAATCTTTCATATCCATTGAATCAGTTTTTTATATCCATAGATGCAGATTTTATTTTTAGAAAAAATAGGTATTTATTAATATGAAAATTCACGTAAAAATAAAATACTTAAATTTTACTCTGTATAATGAATTATAAATTATTATTTATTGCTTTAAAAAGCAAAATAATATTCAATTATGAAAATTAGCCAGATATATTTGAAATAATCTGTTTCTCCACCTGTACTTCCACTTTTAAAATATATTTTTAATAAAATGTCTTTTGACAATAAAAATGGATATTTCTCATTGCATACAACGTCAATAATTCTTAATGAAGCCTACTTATATGATTATCTCCCTAAAAACGCATCACGGACGAATGATGCGAAACAATTTTGATAAGTCGTTATCGCTCATTTTGCCGATAGCGACTAAGCAAAACCCGCACACCTACGCGACATTATTTATTTTAATATCAAAGTGGAATCTTGGTGCATAAGTTTTCACACAAAAAAATGGGCCTTTCTACCGGGGCCGGAGCCAAATTTGCACTCGCGTGGGCCGTCAGCGCCGCAATCATCTTTAACGGTAGGAGAGAAGTAATTATATTTATCAAAAGTTGGCCAAGGTCGAAGCCTCTGTAAATATTTGCCTATAATCCGGTAACACTCGATTTTTAATATTAATTGCCGCTATTTTCATCAATCGGCGTGGCTGATTCTCAAAATTTTCAACCTCTCATAAAAAATGCGAAGAATAGCGTGTTTTTATATGTTTAGAAAAGAGGTAATAAAGAACCTACGCAACCGCCAAGCATCAATTGTGGAGAAGCGTTACTCACCATTTTTTGTGACGTAGGCTGCCAGACTGTAATCTCTTTGTAAGCTGCTTAATGGCTCAATATCTGCGAACGCCTATAAAAACTACCTCATTAGGTCTTTTTCAAAGTTATCAAAGTACAAAACCCAAAATTTAACAATAAATTCTACTGCACACTACTGCACTACTGATTTAAATTTCTTTAAAAGAAATTAATGAATTGCGAATTAACTGTTCAGTTTGTGATAATTTGAGTTCAATGATTTCCTAAAAGATTTGATGAATTCATTTTTTAGTTCATGATTAATAATTATATAAAAATAATTGCTTGTCAATGGATTGAGATTTCTTAATTTTAAGAGTTAGAAGTAATTTCTATTAAAATAAAAGTGGTAAAAATGCTCCCATGTCAACAGAAAATTTCCAAATAATTCAAATTTCTCCCTGATCTTTATAATAATAAATAAGCCTCCAAAATATTTATTGATAATATGTAATTATAATATCTATACTTTACAACTAGATTTAATATTAGCGAAAGTTGTTTGATTTGCTGCAATTTAGTTTTTGAATTATTCGTCATTATTTCATAATCGCTTGAAAGAGGATTAAATAAACAAACAAATATTATAGAAGATTGCGAGATCACGGATGAAAACAAATTATTTTGACGCAGTCCATCAGAGTGCCATAAATGGCCCATTTTCGCCTGACGTGGGTGTGTGGCCGGATTGATCGATGTTTGTTCTTTTCCTTCTCTCTCGTCATAGGAATGTACGCAAACAATGTCCGCGCTCTCAAAATTATCACATAAAAGGAGTTGCCTCATCGCGATTCGATCCAAAGACAGACTCGGGTTTGCACAGTCATGCGCGGCGCCTCATTAACACATAATGGATCCGTGAAAAAGCTAGGCAGCCGTGACCTGTGACCCTGCGTCTCCCAAATGAGATCAGCACAAAAAACGCCGATTAAATATAATATTTACCGATCCACGCCTTTTGTTGCCGCAATTCTCGAACTCATTAACGCGCTTTTCAAGTCATTCATTACTTTTCACTTTTTAATTGAGTCACGCTCTACTATTGTGAATATTACGTTTGATGAACTGTCTTTTTCTATGAATGATTATTTAAAATAGAAATAATTCTTCCATTCAGCAAATAATTTCGCATAATTAATCTGTCAAAATTTAATAATGCACAAATAAAAAATTAAAATGTAATATATGATTTTCTCAAATATAAGTAAATTGAAAATATTGAAAGCAAAAACAATTGTTATTCTGAAATCTGAAACACAGTAAATTATAAAAAAAAATTATGAAAAACAGAGTGAATTTAAAAAATATAAATATTTAAGGATTTGGATATTTTTTTCCAACCACGACCTTACTATTATTTTATTTTTTACAGATGTTCACGGACAGAACACGACGAGCAGGGCTTACTGTTTCCAGTTCACATGGCTCGGGCCCGAGTTCACTGAAGAGAGCACCGTGAATGGCACGTGCAACGACATGGACAACAAACCGTCCGTCTGCGTCGATCCTCTCGTTTACACAAGTAAAAGACCCACCCATTCCGTTTTCACACATGAGCTGCATGAAAAATTTAAACAGAAATATTTTTCAAGACGCTTTTAATTTCATTTACGAAAATTAGATAAAAGTTGAAAAGAAAAATGTATAAATTTGACTTTCTCAGACGACGGAACATTTCCGAACACAACCAACATGTGGGAGGACGCGGACATTCGAAGCAGGGTTACCTGCAGACTGGCGAAGAATGAGGTCTGTGCTAAGTGGACCTTCACATACAACAATCAATGTGAGTAGAGGAGGCAGCAAAAATAGGTCCGAAAGTATAAAACTAATTAATTAGTAGAATTTTAAAACAGAAATTATTAGAGTGACTTTAAATAATTTTTTCTAAATTTATATATTTCATTTCAAGAACTTCTCTCACTTTTTTGAGAATTTTTTAATATATCCTAGGAACAAAATTTCCACATTAATTGTAATGTAAGTGTAATTAGCCTCAAAAGTTCTAAAAAACTTTTTCAATGATTTATATACAAATTTCATCATTTTTACCCATAGATTTTTGTTTTTGATCTCATTCATTTGGGATATGAAATTATTTAGAAGATTCTTTCAAGTTTAAAAAATTTATGCTCAAAACACAACGCAAAATGATAGTGTACTATTTATTTTCTATAATAAAAATGTAGTTTTTAGAAAAATAATCTTATGCTTTAAAAGGACTATAAATATTTAATTATTGTACAAAATAAATTTCTCCTTCATATATTCTTACTTAATTAATAATAAAATAACAAGTGAATTTTCGGTACTTATGGTCTTAAATAGAATGAAAGTTTTATTATTTATAGATTGAAAGTTAGTTTTTTATTTATTTAATAGTTGCATATATTAGAACGGTAAATTAATTGGATACACAATACTATATTGGATAATAGTGAAAGTATCATATTTCCTTACATTTTTATGATAAATTCTATTTTTTATTGTAGTGGAGAACGTGACCTATCTATGCACAAAAGTCACAGAGGACAACAAATACGCCGTGAGGAGTGGGTGTCGGATGCAGGAAAAAGAGGGTCGTCAAATCGAGGTGTGCATCTGCACAACCCCCGTCGGTTTGAACAACTTGGCACCCCCTTGCAACGAGGCCGCCCTTCGCTCGGCGGCGCCACTGCTGCTGTTCGCCGTCGGGGTGGTGCTCGCTCTGCTCACCAGATAGCCACCCCTGTCCTAACCCCGCAAAAACCCTTTCCCATCCCTTCCCTTTCCGCGTGCCCAAAACCTAGCGAGCGACTTTTATTTATTTTATTTTCTACTATGCGTGGACGTGCGCCGCCCTTTTCACATACGCACTGAATGATGCAGCCGCCCCATGTGAATTATTCACCCCCTCAAGAAAATGTACACACAAAAAAGAAGAAAAGAAAGAGAGCGGCCCACCGGCGATGAATTATTTTTAGTGCAACCCTGCCCGGTTTTTGCCAGTTAAATGTTAATGAGATGAAGCAAAAAGTATAAAGAGAGGCAGAGGCAGCTCGGACCCGGCAGAACTTTGAATCAGGAACCGGAAAACTGCATGATTGTGATATAATTTTAAATAAAATAATTTGGTCGTTTTAAAAAGACCATGCATATTGAAAAATTTTGTATTTTAAAATGAACATTCGTAAAAAAAAAATAAACAAATTAATTATGTAATGAATAGATTTTGTAATATTTTTATTGAAAATAAAGTATATGCTCAAGATAAGCATTTGTGAAACTCAATAGATATTTTTTTCATACTTACAAGGAATTGTAATTAACTTTAATAACTTTTTGTGATCAAAATTTTTAGCCATAGAAAGCGCAATATTCTAGTATTAAAAAATAAAAAAAATATAATCATACATGATCTCTTGTTGTACGAAATTAGTTAGCACTTCACTTGAATGTATTTTATATAGTTAAAAATAATTAATTAATGAACTAAGGAAAGTTTATTGAAATTAAAATACATAAACCAATTAACATATTTAAATAATCCATATTACAAGGATTAAAATTTATCTTTCCAATATTAGTAAAAAATCGATAAGTTCCTTCAGTTTTCCAACACATTTCTGCCCTAAATAATGCAATAAACAGCTTCATTTCAAAATTAATTTCATCTTTAGATAAGTATTCATATTTTTTTGTCAGGCTGTTAGTCGTTTTAAATAGTATTGTCTATTTTGACACTTTAAGCATTTCAATATCAATATATTTGAAACTAAAAAACGTACCCAAGTTAGTCAATCAGCTTATTATTATATATGCAATATAATAATACAATCGCGGTACAAATACTTAAGCATCTTTCGATTTAACACAATCCAATTAATACGGGTTTTCCACCAAATGGATTAGAACAAGGGCCTCTCTAGCACGGCAATTACGCAAATACGACGGCAGGTCTCTTTGCTTGACGTGTGTGCGCGTGTTATAGTTGGGCGCTAGAACGTGCCGCGATCGAGTGTGTAAAAGCCCATTCACATTGCTCTGGAGTGGCCGGCGCATAGCGAGTGTGTTCCACATTCGTAATCAATAATCCATTAAAATTCCAATCTCGCCAGAGTCCAGCTCTCTTTTTACTATGGATTTTTTTTTTCGAGTAAAATCGAGTGCACAGCAGCACTTGCTTGCAAAGCACTACTTGATTCCATCAATCTACATAATAAAATGTCGCCATTCGATTTGAAAGCCAAGGATAAAAGAGAGCAGGCTGAATTTTATTTTGCTGTATAGCCGAGTTGTGCTCTTGTAGCAGCCAAACACGAGCAGAAAACAAACAAACAAACAAACGGGCCGGCGTATTGTTCCACTTTACAACACTGTGCGGGGGCGAGGGTGTAAAAAGTCATCACACGCACATAAAAATGCAACAGCACGCCAGTCAATCTATTTGCGAGGCGCCGTCCTACAGCAGCCGGCGCTTCTGCTGTGTAATCAATCCGCGAGCTCCTCTTTTTTTATTGTCTTCAAAGGGAGGCATCGACCGCGTAAAGGGTCGCAAAAGAGTGAGACGCACACAAAGACACTGACAAACAACCTTTCAAAACTGCCGAAGCTCAAATGATTCGCAATTTTGATATTCTTTGGAAACAACAATAAATGGCTGTCAAAGTATAAAAAATGACGTCAACAAAGATGTCTAGACGTGTTTTTATAATTTGTCCTCTTTGATAGCTGATGCTAAATTTTTTTGCAGAAAATATCATTAAGAAATAAAATGAGGACTGCATGCTTTAAAAAAAAAAATCAGAAAAATTATCTAAACTTTTAATTTCCACTAATGAAAATTTAATTGAGATTTTGTTTTAAATGTAAATTATGCATTAAAAGACTTTTCGCGGCTTAAATTTAATTTTAACTCATCAACAAAACTCACACAAAATTGTATAAAAATTACTTTTATGGCCCAGTATGTGACCGAAATATTAATATTATATAAATTTATTGGTAGTTAATAGAATTTTATTGATGACCTAATTCATCTTCACTTTTCCCAGAAGGTCAAAATTCTAAGGCCAAATAAATTAGCTTTGCACTTTATTAGAACCAATCACGAATGAACTTCTAACAAACTGCACGCCATACCTACAATTAATTCCACATCCTGAGGAGCCCTGGGCCAATTTTTTTTTTCAAGCAATTATTCCGGCAGCGCCGGTGAAAGAATGAATTATATTTTATGTTGCAGCAGGTCAAGGTTCAGAGCAGCAAATTTTATCGCGTTCACGCAACAAAGTTTTATGTGATGGATTATTTTTTTTAATTTCATTTCCATTCATTGAACGGGTGTCCTAAGAGGCTGCAGTTAGTTACTCGCAGCTGATACAAAAGGCCACTTCTATATTTTCTTTGAAAACACTCTTCTCCGACCTTTCTCTTTCTCTCTTCAAAACAAAACAAAACGAAACGCTGCTGGCAGATCCACACGGAGAACTCCGCTGCTGCTTGTATAATAATAATAATAATGTGTACGTAGTGGAGTTGAGTGTGTTTTACTGCTGCTGCTTTTTCTACGTTTTTATTGCGCCCGGCTGCCGTATATAGCAGAGAGAGATTAATTAATTTCGGAAGCTGTTAAATTTTATCTCTTTCGCTGCGCCCGCTGCTGCCTAGAAAGAGGATTTTGTGATTTACAGGCAAACACCGGTGTAAACTCGGAGAGTGTTGCGCAATTTCCACGAGGTATAGAGAGTTCAGCTGTTTCTCTATTTGTGTTGCAAACAGAGAAACATACATGTACGCCAATACCCGCGCTTGCATAATCTAGAGGCGTGGTTATCAATTATGAAAATTTCAATTTGAGGCGAAGTTAGTAATTTTCTATAGGAAAATTAAAAGATTTGTTATAAATTCATTATAATGAGCCTTAGGTGATAAAAAACTGATCTAGAGAAATTTAAAGAAAATTCACAAAATTTGTGTAGCAAAATAATTTAGTTTGCAAATGTATGACAAATTTATTTTGTAAATTATTTGACTTTAATTCAAAATAATAATTTAAAAATGTGGCTAAATCAAGGGATTTCAAAATTATTAAGGTGGTCTCTGAAAAATCTTTAATTTATATTTAATTCATACCGCCATCTTAATCAGTATACATAAGTTGTGCTTTTTTAACTTGAAATAGTATAATTCATATTTAACAATTAATTTAAAAAATGAAAAATGAAATTTTCTGCTTATTGTCATACTGGAAGAGATAAAAATAAATAAAGATTTTAGACTGCTGTTGATAAAAAAAATTAATCAGAATATTTCAACTGATCTCAACCAGAAGAGGACTTCCGTTTCTGGCTGTCGGTTGATAAATTTGATGCATTCGAAAGGCAATCAACACAGAATTGACTCTTTCAGTTGGAAATAAACGTGGTAAACTTCCATTCCAGTTGCCATTCTCATTTTAAAAATTCCCCACATCAGTCTATGTCGACGACATTCCAGGTCAAATGCATGCACCTCTCGACGAAATTGAATTCTGCGGAGTCTCTCTCATTTCGCGGAAGGATAGAGTCTGCGGGTGCATGTTGATTGCCTCCCATAAAACACACGCGAAATTGCAAAAATAAGGGAGTGCAGCAAGATTGATTGCCCGGCTCGTTGCGGCGGAGAAAAATGACGTGTCGTCGGCCGGGTGACACGCAAGAGACCCTTCTCGCTGCAAACTTATCAGAGCAAACAGCCTCCTTCTCAACCCCTTTGACCAAAACAGTGCCCATTACACGCTCCACCGGCTGAAAGGCTTCTTTATCCCACACTGACATACACAGACGGGGACACACACCAAGTTTCGGCAAAAGCAGCCTTGCGTGAACGGCAAGTGCGTGAACGTGTGAGCACCTAAGAGGCTGCGAAATGAGCCTCTGACATCGATACGGCCAATTATTAGATCCACTACGTCGTCTTCCAATAAAGAACCATGTTTCCTTATTAAAAGTTCGAGCATTTTCTAAGATTGCCACTTTGAAAATTAGGAAATGCTGTGATTTCCTTTTAAAAATGCGCTATATATTATATTTTTGTTCTTATTTTTGAAATAAAAATTAAATAAAGAAAATCACTTTGTCAATATTATGCAAAAGTAAATTTAAAAAAAAAAATGCTTATAGCTTTGATATTGTCAAAAATAATAAAAAATTGATATTGTTTCTGTAAAACATACAATGAGAAAGGCAATACAAAACCCAAACCGACTCAAATAGGAGTTTGGATATCTTCAATAGAAAACGATTTTTAATTTGGATTAATTTTTAGGTGCATTAGTTTTAAATTGTACAAAATATTAATTATAGATGCTGGAAAATATGTTTAAGGAAAATTATTTGTACTTTTATGTTCAAACAACATATCTGTTTAAAAAAAAATTAAAATATGCAGAGGATTTCAGCTGTAAACTCCTTTAAAAAGGTTTGATAAAATTCAAATATGAGCGATACATATACAAGGAATAAAAAAAAATTATTTCACCCAAAATATTATATTTTTGTTATTTAATTTTTTTTCGTTTTACAATTAGATCAATTTTCCTTTTTTAATTTTACATATTCTTTCTACAAAGTTTTCTATAGTGTGAGCCTGTTTTTTCTTGAAAAAATTGATCTTCAGACTACATTTTGCATGAAATTTTGAATGAAATTGATTATTTCTAAAATGATAAATTATTCAAATCACGTAAATGTTTTTTTTTTTAACAATGATATTATCAATTATCATGCATCAATCGAGAAAAAGCTTGCAGCAATCACATCTTTTGTTTTTTCCCCATTAATTTTTTACAATCTTTGGTCTCGTCGATCTTGAAAAAGAGTTCCATTGCAAAAAAGCTCTATACCAAAAGATCTCATCAGTCTGTCTGTCAAGAGAAAAAAATTACTGCAGCATTTCTTTCTATAGCTCTACCCTATCCGCACGCAGTCAAAAACTTTTGTCACAACCTGCAGCAGCCACTTTGGCCTGTCATAAAGTTTCTTCGTCATGCAGTCTGACGTCGGCAAAAATAAGCGTCAGCGCAGTATGTTCCACGTTTGATATTGGAAATTTGCTTCATTACCCGGCCGGTGGGTCGGCCGACGCCCGTTGCTTTTTGCATGCAAGGCAGCGAAAAAAAGTACATACAAGGGAGGCCGAGTTCGTTTCTCACGCCACACTTCAATAAAAGTCGCGCGCGATATGCACTTGTGGCGGAGACTCAATATTGGAACAGCCAGAAGCACTTGTTGAGAGAAAGAGAGCAAAAAAGAAGGAAAACTGAAAGCTGTGCAAACGAGCTTGTCGAAGGAAATAAAGAAAGATGCAAAAATTTGCAAGCTCAACTATTTTCTAAAGTCATATTTTGCCAGGTTATTAGCGCATGAAAGGTACGAAATTAATTATTAACTTCACAAATAAACTTCATGATTAAGTCACTTGCTTGAAATTAAATAAATTAATAAGCAATTTTGTATATTTTGTTCCGAGCATTGATTTATTATTAATTTTTTTAATAATTACTTTAACATTAATTACGGAATAATGGTATCAAAAAGTGTAATAGAAGATCCACCTTCACTATTTTTTTTGCAGTTTTGGGTTATTGTTGAAAAAAATTGACTCTTTTAAAAAGCTGGAATTCATAAAATAATTTCTTAAACTTTTAGTTTTAATTCATTGTTACAATGCCAGGGCACTACTAACTTAAATTGTAAGATTTGAAATATATTATATTTGCAATATATTTTTTCTTTTTTATAAAATATTAGTTCTTTAAAAATTGAAGGTGTTTCATTAAATATTTGAACATTTTTTTTGATACATATAAAATATTTTAGTATCTGTTTTTAGAAGAAAATGAAGTCGAAGCTTAAATTTTGCCCATTAAATTAATGAGCATCTCAATTTTCCTTCAGTCTGGAGCATTTCATAAAAAATTCAAAGCCTCTTAACAGCAATAAAGAGGCTAAAATCCATTCTGAAGAGGCAATTTGCTGATTAACGAAAGCAAAAGCGGCGTCGCTCGCTTGTCGGTTGCCGCAGATTAGTTGGCAAAAGTCGATTAATATTTCAGCCTGGTGGAGGCTTCGGCCATTCGCCGCGGCTCTCTTTCAAACCCAGAGGCCTCCACGCACTTTCCCTCCTTGTTGTATTTGCGTGGAAACTTTGCCTACCCTTGCGAGCGCCGACCAAAGGAATGCGCCTGGAATTTTCATTTCGCGACTAAACTCCATGGACCGGAACTATTTTACGAGCGGTATTCGCCGGCCTAGCCGCATCGGCTACGGTTTCCATGCTAATTTGAAGGCAAAAAAATTGGCACTCACCCTGCGGCAAAAGTCTTGTGTCGAACTTCTTCGGCCAAGCTGGAGATGCTGCATCCAAGGAAGAATTGACGAGCAAAAACTGCCGGTCGACGACGAAGGGTTGAGGTTAAGGAACAGTTCAAGAGCCGCATAACTCGACGCAGAGGAGAACTCTGAAATTTTTTATGCATAATATTAAAAAATAATTTCTTGTTCGAGGATTACTTAATTTCACAACCAGATATCAACTCCTTTTATAAATTTGAAACATTCATCATTTTCATTTAATTAAAAAGAAAAAACACATAAAATTTATCAAAAAATAACTCTTATCTTTATGTGATGTGAAAATTTCATAATCGACTTAATGCCAGTCTCATGTTTATCACAATATTGTAAAAAATATTTGATCAATTTTCAGGAACGAATGAAATAAAAATATGTGTAAATTCAATTAAAGTTAAAATCTGGGATTATTATCGAGACAGCGAGTTAGAAGGATTGCGATAAAATTTACCTCCGATAGTTTAGTTTTTTCCTCACAATATCTGGACGTTCTGGTTCAGGATTCTTCGATGCCGTAAAAATTATGAACTTGCACTGCACATGACACATGAATCACCATATTCCCCATATTCTATGGACGAATAATCGAAATAAATTGGCGAAAACAAGCAATAATATATTAATGTTCCCGCAGTTTTACTTTTGCAACTCTTTTACTGAATGAAATAAAATGAACAATGACGACTGACTGACGACATAATTAGAAGTTCAGCTGCTTCACTGTGTTACTTTAACAATGAGTAGATCTAGACTTGTTCAATGGAATGTACCGAATGCAGCAAATTTCGCTCTAAAACAAGTCCGCTTGCTTACTTGCTCTGCGGCGTGCAGCTTGCATGCGGATAGAAAATTCCGTAAAATTCCGATGTAATGTGAGCCTCTACAGCACATTCCAATATAATTTTACATTACGAAAAGCGTCAGCATTGGAAAAGATGGCCATAGAGTAGAAGTAAAGTACATATTTCTTAACTCCTCCCATCTCAATTCTCATCCCTTTGCATTCTTCAACAAAACACACACAATCCCAATAATTATCCACAAAAGCACACAAGAAGGAAATTAAATTTATTTCACTTGTGCTAGTGACGCGTCAGTGTTATTTTGCTATTTGTGCAGACGTGACCGATGTGATGCGAGTCTATGAACATTTGCCAATCAAAAATACATAAAAATTCATAGTGATTGTGCCTTTTTGGCGAAGTCTTTTCGATTGTGTCGATCTGGATCTGAATGCGTGGATACTTGGATACACCGGCAGAATAAGAAACAAAAGGTAGGAAATTTTTTTTACCATTGAAATGAACATCTTATAGGGCGAGATGTGAAAGGATTTTATAGGGAGATAGTAATTTTGCAATTTAATTATTTGCAATTAATTGTGCTATGCTAATATCTAATTGCAAGACATATTAAATACATACAAATTCTGGGTGTTATTTTATTATTTTTTTTACGATTCGCGATGCAGAATTTCTTGTTGTTAATATTATAAAAAATGGGAACAATCTAATTAAATAATTCATGCACCTGATTCTTAACACGAGTCCTTAAAAATTTTCCATTGACAAATTTTTTTAGCTACAAAAGGAGTAAAAACTATGATTTCATGAATTTTATAAAGCTTCAGACACGCATCAGATTTATTTTAAGGATGATTAAATGAAATTTCATGAAATTTTTTATACAAAATTTAATGGTGTGTTTGTAAAATTCAGGAAAGTCATTTGTAATTTTAGAAGCATGTATGCAAAAGTTTATTAGCAAATATTTAATTTATTATATACCAATATTAACTTTGTTTATTTACGCGTCTTATATAATTGCTCGGCTTCCAAATATGGACGCTCTTTGCGTGTAATATTGTCCCTTCACTTGGCACACAAAGGCCTCTCTTGTTCCTCTTCTTTTGATGTAGAAACTTGCAAAAGCCGCAAGCACTTGTCTCCGCGTTCAAAGAGACCTTCCTCGTGTGTCTTGCCAGGGCAAATTTTTGGCTCGTGTGTCTTTGGTGGCCAACAGCCCGGCCCAAACAATTAATCGATGCATTCACGTTCAAAGTGGTCCCCCAAGACGAGAGGCGGCAGTTAATTGAATTTCCGTCGAGTTATCACAATAATGAACAGGTCCTTTGAAATTGAGAGAAGAGCCCTGGCCGGAGAGACTGGGGACCAAATTTAATTATTCAGCGGCGATTTTCCGTTGGCCGACCATATTATTATTACCATTATGATCATTAACAAAGAGGAAATTTCATCAGTGACGGGAAACCTTCAATTTGGCCACAGATCAAAGGGCGGTCGCATTCGTTAACCTTGTTGGACTTTTTATGCTAATGCGACCGAGACCTTTTTGCATTATTTTATTGTTCGGCAGAGGTTCTGCTCTGCGTGGATGGAATTATATTTTCCATTGTTCCAGGATTATATGTACAAAAATATAAAATAAAAATTTCATGCAATTTTACATTTTCTCGTTGTTGAGGCCGAAAGAGCGTGAAACTTTTTTTAATTACAAACATTTCTCGACTGAAAAATATTAGCTCGGCGAAAAGGTCCTAAAACTGGATTAAAATTCAAATTACTCGCACACATTTTTTTTCCGGCGGCCCGAGCATATAATAACAATAATGCGTATATTTTGGCCGCAGCTCCGGCGTGTGTTTTGCTTTGCCTGCCAAATTAAACAGCTTTTACGCACACCTGCTGCCCTATGCCAGTTTCTGATGTGCTTTTCCGCCGACCAAAAAGCTGCCGCCACTAATTTCATCGCGCGACGAGACGTGCAGGTGCGCGTGCGATGCAAATTCATGCAAATTGCGCTCCCCCCAATAATGATTGCACCCCAAAACGGATCAACAGCCCCCCACTGAATTTATGCATTGTTGCGTGAACTTTGTTCAAAACTAATTTGGAAGCAAATTTATCCGCTTCTAACTAAATGCATTAGCAAATTGCAATTGGTTGAATTATGATTTATAGAAATGGATATTAATTGTAGCTTATTACGTTTTACAGCATTTACTTATGAATTGCAAAAATATTTTAAAATTCAAATTTCTTAGAACATAAAGCAAATTAAATAAAATTTCTATGATTAAACTAAATCAGACAATGGCGGAAAATACTTACCAAAAAATGGCAATAATAGGTTCCATAGGTTCTTTTTTTAATACTTCAGTAGTTTCTTTAATTCCAATTTAATTAATTTTGAATGCAACTTTGTTATTCTAGCATAAGCAATTTATAAAAAAATTAGCTTCGTTTATTTTTCCTATAAATTAACATTGGATTAGTATTTGGCCAACTTTTCCAAATCCAATTCGACTGCCCTGATATAGGCAACGTCAGCTGTTGGTAGCTCGCAAGTTGACAGAATTTAGAACGCATTTTGTACTTCATTGTTTTTTTTTACTTTTTTCACGCCAGTCTGCGACTTCTCAGATCGGAAAAAGGAGAAACTGTAGGCCTGATAAAGTTTTATATAAATTATTTGGTGTATCCATGTTAAAATAAAATATCTTTTTTAACTTCTTTTCCCTTTATTAAAAACAAAGGTAATAAAATTGTGTACACATGCTTTATAGACAAAAATTCTAAAATATTTAAAATATTCATAATACAAAATTTCTCCAAATTTTAGTTTTTTTTTCATCATAGATTTTACCATGATGCAGAAGATACAAAAATGAGCAATGAGCATAATTAATTTATATTGTAAATACAAACTGATTGTGAAATTATATTTATAATGTTGAAGCACACACATATAATTTTTTTTTAATTTAAAACAAAATATGTACATATCTCTCTATAAAAAATAGGTTAAACATCAGCTATTGTTATAATTAAATTAAACCCATCATACCCTTAACTCAACCATAAATGTAATAAAATTTAATCAAAAGCACTAAATTGTGCACAATTTATAATGGAAGCTTCATCGCATGAATACGGAGCATGTGTCTTGGGAGCTGGTAGCTTTGGACTATATTTTTGCATACAGTGCACTCAACCATCTTCTTATAAGATTCCATATGAAATGTTTGCATGTGACATTTATATTCTGACTTGAATATGAAAATTCTTGAACAGAGATGGCATCTGTAATTAAATGTGACAAGTTTGTGGATTTGAGTAAGATGTCTTTTCAAACTAGCTTTACTGATATAACACTTTTGGCAATGAGCACAGTGGAATTTGCGACTGGTAGTTTTGTGATGAATCTTTTTTATGTGGAGCTTCAAACAATATTTTGAAGAAAAGTATCTCAAGCAAATCGTGCAGTAAAATCCACGATCCTTAAAGTGGAGCCCCTTTGTAATAGGTTCCATATGCGTGTGCATCTGGTGCATGTGATAACGAAGAGCACTTTTATATTGAAAAGTATTTGGACATTTGTCACAATTGAAATGCAGACTCCTGCACTCCTTTTTGTGTCTTTTCAACAACTCTGAGCAATCAAAAGATCTTTGGCATTTTAAACAAGAAACCTTCACGAAATGCTTGTTTAACAAAATTGCAGAAATTTCCAAATTACAGGCAGGGCATGTCCTAAACTTGTGTTTCCGTTTGATATGTTGTGATAAACTGATTTTGCTAATTAAAATAGCAGGACACATCGGACAGTAGAATTTGTATTTTGAAATTTTATGCACTATGGCTTCGTGATGAGCAAGTGAAGCCTTCTTTCGAAATTTGCAGTTGCAGATTGAACACTTGTGCTTTTTTGACTCTTCAAGATTGCTGTGCTTTGTTTTCATATGAACTTCCAAATCAGTTTTAGTTTTGAAAAAATCACCACACCCCCGAACACGGCACTTGATGGCAATTTTTGAATGATTCCATCTGACGTGGTCATACAATCTCATTCTCGTGAGGGCCTGTTTTGGGCAATAAAGGCAGTCATGAAGGACCTGCTCTTTAGGCGTCAAGTGACATTCATTGATATGTTGATTCTTGTCTTCCTCAGAAAGAAAAAATCTTGCACATTGAAGATAATCACACCTGATTGCAATGTCTGCATGTATTGCTTTTGTATGGTTCCGGAGAGCGCCATGGTGAAAGTGTTTATTGCAGTACAAACATAGCACTTTTTTTTTGTAGTTACTGCATGTTTTCGATTTCGCCCAGTTTTTTTATATTTCACCGGTTTGTCTACAATTGAGTCATCCGAGCTCTCGTGAGATGATTCTTGTAAAATTTCTGGAACTTTTATCAGTGGCACCCAGCATTGCTTTACGTATCCAGCTGGAACAAAAAAAGTTTATTATTATTAATTTCAAAATAATTTTTTCTAAATAATAATCATTAAGTACAAAAAATCAAAGTAAAGACTAACTCACCCTTGTAGTAATTGCGAAGACAAATTTCCTGACTTTCCATTTCATTAGGCCACCACTTCATTTCGTCCTGTATTCCGCTTTCCATATTTAATCCATTTTCACAAAGTAACCTTAAATTTTATTTAGAATTCATTGCTAGTTTATACAAACAAGATCAAATTTACATACTTTGCATCCCATACGCAGAAGTAGCAAAACAGGTCGTTGTCCTCAACATTTTCGGCCAAAGTTGTGCCCAAATAGTTCAAGCACCACTGAGAAAACTTTTCCAAATTTAATTCGGCCGCCCGATGGCCGCCGTCGGCCGCTGGCCGCTCGCAAAGGCGACACAATTCGGCCCACATCATTTGGCGGCACAAAATGTTTATTTTGGTCTGGTGACCAGCTGGCGAGCGGAGTGCATGGGGCTCCTTCGCCTCTCCTTCGCTCCTATTGGCCGCTTTTCACGCACATTAAATTGTGGGGCACAAAAGCGGGAGAAAATATGTATACAAGCAGAGGTATTAAAGTGAGATCGATTCCCAAGTGTTGGTTGGACGTTATGATATTATATAATTTTTTTTTGCTTTTCTTTGGCGCACTCGGCAGTTTACAAAAAGGATTATCTTTATAATTTTTCAATAAAAAGAAGTATCATAAATAGGTACATCAGATTATGTTTTAAGCTATACAAAGTGGGGGGGGGGGGGGGATTAGGGATGACGTGAAAATGTCATAATAATAAATGCCGGCGGCCGGTAGGTCTCATTTAATTATTGGTTTGTTGCAAAAACCAAATCATCAGTTTAAACTGCATCTCATGATGATATGATTCTTCCAATAAGTAAAAAAAAATTATAGGAAAACTTTTGCGGACATAAGCGATAAAAAAGTAAAAAGTTTAATGTACACCTGCTCTAAATTTAATTCAATTTTATTTTCTTATACATTTTACCTGATTTTTCATCATGCAAATATTTTACAAAAATAAGCATATCATAAGTCATACTAAAAAGTTATTTAAAATTAAATTAAATTCAAAATAACTTTCAGGACTCAATATTTGAGAAAAAGGCTATAGTAAATAAAATGTATCAAATTATAATCTGTAATCAAACATTGTTAAATGTTAGCTGATCTTTTCATTATTTTTAATCCAAACTTTTAATTTGCACAACTCCCTGAATATAGTCAGATTGACTCACAGTAGAGTGTTTGACGGGACTTGGTCCCGACGGGTCCCCGCGGGTTTCCCGCGGGACCGGCACCGTTTTCTTTAAGAGCAGCGGGAACGGGACGGGACGCGGGACTGGTAAATTGAAGTTAGTTGCAAAGACAAACCAGTTTTCAATTCCCTGTTCTGTCAAATGAATTATAATTTTCAAGCCAAGTCAAAATTAAAAGTTTTTGAATAGCATATTTTTCTAATCGCAACCTCCTGTTCGCACTTTCTTTTAAAGAAATATACATAATCATAAATAAATTAAGAAATCAAGACAATAGACAATATTTTTAAAAATTTGAGGTATTGATATAATTTAAGCTACCCGCAGTTCATACGGGTAGTGCTATTTGCATACCACGAAAACTGGACGATTAATAGCTGATTGCAGGAATCGGGACTCGGGACGGGTCCGGGAATTCGTTTTAGGCTTTCCCGGGAACGGGACCAGACTCGGGAAATTGTTTAAAAAAAATTCGGGAACGGGACGGGAAAATTTTCAAAAATTGGTCCCGTCAAACACTCTAACTCACAGCTCCTTAGTGCTTTATTTGTTAGGAAAGTCAGGAATAGCATGCATACGAATCATGTGAGTTTGGAGGTTGTAGTTTTGGACTATTTTCTTGCATACAGTGCACTCAACCATCTTGGAATTTTCCATTTTACAATATTTTATGTGTTCTTCATATTGTGATTTTAAAATTAATTTTCTGGAACAAAGCTTGCACCTGTAGCTAAATGTGATAAGGTTGTGAATTCGAGCAAGATGCTTTTGCAAACGAGACTTGCAAAGATACAACTTTTGGCAATGAGCACAAGAGAATTTGTGCCTGGTAGTTTTGTGCATCCTTTTTGTGTGTTTTTTTAAAAGCAGTTTTGAAGTAAAGTATTTTGAGCAAGTCTTGCAACAGATTTTGCGTTCTTTTAACTGGAGACCCTTAGCAATATGTCCCAGATGGCTATTTATGTGATACCTTAGCACATATTTTTTTAAATACACATTTGGACAAAAATCACACTTTAAAAGCAGACCCCGGCACTCTTTTTTATGTTTTTTTAACAACTCTAAGCAATCAAAAGTTCTTTCACATTTTCCACAAGAAACCTTCACAAAATGTGTGCAATACGAAAATGCAGAAATTTGCAAATTACAGGCAGGGCATGTCCTAAACTTGTGTTTAATTTTGATATGAAAAGACAAACTGCTTTTACTAATTAAAATGGCAGGGCACATTGGACAATTAAATATGTGCTTTGAAATTTTGTGCTTCTTGGCTTCATGGTTAGCAAGTCCAATTTTCTGTTCAAATTTGCAGTCACAGATTGAGCACTTGTGCTTTTTTGACTCTTCAAGACCTTTGTGTTTTGTATTCATATGAACTTCCAAATCGGCTTTAGTTTAAAAAAAATCACCACACCTCCCAACACGGCACTTGATGGCAATTTCTGAATGGCACCATCTGACGTGCTTGTACAATCTTGATCTTGTCAAGGCTTGTTTTGAGCAATAACAGCAGTCATGTAGTACCTGCTCTTTAGGTTTCAAGTGATATTCTTGTATATGTTTACACTTTTCTTCCTCGGAAAGAAAATATTTACTGCATTGAAGATAATCACACCTGATTGCAATATCTGCATGCATAATTCGAATGTGCTTTGGAATATGATGAAAGTGACAGTGTTTTTTGCAGTACACACACTGCACACTTTTGGAAGTAACTGCATATTTTCTCCCTCTTTTTCTTTTCACTGGTTTCTCAATGCTTGTCTCATCCAAGCTCTTGTCAAATGATGATGCATAAGAAATTTCTTGAACTTTCATCAGCGGCACCCAGCATTGCTTTATGTATTCAGCTGGAATAAAAAAAGAGAAATAAGTTAAACAAATTTTAATGTGTATATAATAATTTTTGTATAACAAATCAAAGTAAACACGGGCTCACCTTTGTAGTAATTTCGAAGACTAAATTCCTTGCTTGCCCCTTCTTCAGGCCACCACCTCATTTCGTCCAGAATTTCACTTTGCGAATTTTTTTCACTTTCAAAAAGAAACCTTCGATTTAAAAATAAAAAATTTTATTTCATTTTTCAAACAAGATCTATAATTATAATTACAAACCTTGCGTCCCAAACGCAGAAATAGCAAATCAGGTCGTCGTCCTCGACATTTTCGGCCAAAGTTGTGCCCAAATAGTTCAAGCACCACTGAGAAAACTTTTCCAAATTTAATTCGGCCGCCCGATAGCCGCCGTCGGCCGCTGGCCGCTCGCAAAGGCGACACAATTTGGCCCACATCATTTGGCTGCACAAAATGTTTATTTTGGTCTGGACGGTCTGGTGACCAGCTGGCGATTGGCATGGGGAGTGCTTCTCCTTCGCTCCTATTGGCTGCTTTTCAAGCACATTAAATTATGAGGCACAAAAGAGGGAGGAAATCCAAGCAGAGGTAGTGTGATCGATTCCCAAATATAAAGAACTTTTTAAGTAATTTAAGTCTTTTGATTCAAAGACTGATGATATTGTTGGTTGGAATTTAAGATATTATATTGTTTTTTGCTTTTTCCTTGGCGCACTCAATCGTTTAAAAAAAAGAATAATCTTTATAATTATATTCAATGACAAAAGAAGTATCATAAATAGTACATCAGAGATTATGGTTTCATTAACTTTAAACTTTTCAGCTTAACTTGTGGGGGGATGAGGCGGATGTCATAATATATAATATATGCCGGTTTCCACTCCATGGTAATAGATTCGATCATTTAATTATTGCTGGTTTGTAGGTTTGTAGCAAAAACCAAATCATCACTTTAAACTGCATCACATGATAATGATTCTTCTGATTCTTCCAATAAGTAAAAAGAAAAAAATAAAGGAAATACTGGTGTAGACATAAGCGATACAAAAAGTATAATGTACATATTTTGTAAACCTGCTCTAAATTTTACTTTTGTTAACATTTTACCTGATTTTTCATAATGCAAATATTTTACAAAAGTGAACATAAGACATAGTTAAAAATTATTTAAAAAGTAAATTAAAAATATCTTTTAGAAGTCAATGTTGAAGAGAAAGACTGATATTTTTTTAGTCTAAACACTACATAAAATTTATCAAATACAATCTCTAATCAAACATATTGTTAAATGTTAGCTGATCTTTTCATTATTTTTAATCCAAACTTTTAATTTGCACAACTCCCTGGAAATAATCAGATTGACTCAAAGCTTGGTGAGGGTCTGCTTCGCAGGCAGCAATGGATAAGCAATAGCATGGAAAGTGGCGCTCTGGCCGGCACTCGCCGTGCAGGAGACATGGCATCGCTGCTGGCGGTACGATCGCGAGGTGGGGGCTCCCAGAGCCGTCTCCAACGCGAATGCGGCCTTACGCGAAACAAATAATTTCTTATCAACACTAAAACCGAGACAATGTCATGAAAAAATTTATATAAATCATCGCGACATGAACGCATAAAGATAAAAAAATGCAAATAGTTGATAAATATTTATTCATAGAAAAGCAAAGACGGCAAAATAAGAAATTGAATGGATATTTGGAACCGATCCACGAATTTAATTATATTTAAATATCATTGAATAGAGTTTGCACTAAAACCTTTGAATATTCATGCACACCTATGGTAGATATACAAGCTGTGCTAATCTCGTTTACGTCAATAGGTGGAAACTAATAAAACGGCAATCATAATTATAGCAAGAGTAAGTTTGCACGGCACTTGCAAAATAGTAATAAATTATTGTAATGTGGTGAACGATCTGTTTGTATATAATGAATTGAATTTTCCTTTCGTTCTAATGAAGTGTAATCAGCCCTCTTAATCTCAGTTATGTCAATAGGTGGAAACATGCATACCAGAAATTAAATACAAAAAAAGTGCATGTTCAGGCTGCCTCGAAATAGTTAAAAAAAATTTTTTTAATTAGTTCCCTTCGAGTTTGCACAAAATATATTAGATTTTCCTTTTATTTTATTCGAGTTTAATCAACCCTTTCAAACTCAATCATGCCAATAGGTGGAAACATGCAATACGGTAATTAAAAAAAAAATGGATATGTTCGGGCTGCCTCCTAAATAGTTAATAATTTATTTTAATTAGTTCCTTTAAAGTTTGCACAAAATATATTGGATTTTCCTTCTAATTTATTCGAGTTTTATCAACTCTGCCAAACTCAATCTTGTCAATAGGTGGAAATCTACAAAACTGAAATTAAATATAAAATTATGATATGTTCAGGCTGCCTCAAAATAGTTTATATTTTTTTTAAATTAGTTTCCTTTGAGTTTGCACAAAATAATTTGAATTTCCCTTCTATTATATTCGAGTTTAATCAACCCTGCCAAACTCAATCTTGTCAATAGGTGGAAATCTACAAAACAGAAATTAAATATAAAATTATTATATGTTCAGGCTGCCTCAAAATAGTTTATATTTTTTTTAAAATTAGTTTCCTTTGAGTTTGCACAAAATAATTTGAATTTTCCTTCTATTTTATTCGAGTTTAATCAACCCTGCCAAACTCAATCTTGTCAATAGGTGGAAATCGACAAAACAGAAATTAAATATAAAATTATGATATGTTCCGGCTGCTTCAAAATAGTTTATATTTTTTTTTAAAATTAGTTTCCTTTAAGTTTGCACAAAATAATTTGAATTTTCCTTCTATTTTATTCGAGTTTTATCAACCCTGCCAAACTCAATCTTGTCAATAGGTGGAAATCTACAAAACTGAAATTAAATATAAAATTATGATATGTTCGGGCTGCCTCAAAATAGTTTATATTTTTTTTAAATTAGTTTCCTTTGAGTTTGCACAAAAAAATTTAAATTTTCCTTCAGTTCTAAACAAGTTCAATCATTACTGTTAATGTCAGCTATGTCATTAGGTGGAAACATGCAGATCTGATATGAAAAATAAAAATAAGACCTGTTCGGGCTGCCTCAAAATATTTAATATTTTTTTTTATTAGTTCCGTTTGAGTTTGCACAAAATAAATTAAATTTTCCTACAGTTCTAAACAAGTTCTATCATCCCTGTCAAACTCAATCATGTCAATAGGTGGAAACCTACAAAGCATAAATTAAATATAAATATGTTCGTCTTCCTATTCAATTCATTTGTTCTCTCGCTACAAGTTGAACAGAAATTTTATGCTCAAAATAGTTAATTTTTTTTTAATTAGTCCCCTTTGAGTTTGCACAAAATAATTTGAATTTTCCATCACTTTTAATCAAGTTTAAACAGCTCTTTCAAACTCAATCATGCCAATAGGTGGAAACATGCAATACGGTAATTAAAAATAAAAATTGATATGTTCGGGCTGCATCCTAAATAGTTAATAATTTATTTTAATGAGTAAATTTAAAGTTTGCACAAAATTTATTGGATTTTCCTTCTAATTTATTCGAGTTTAATCAACCCTGCCAAACTCAATCTTGTCAATAGGTGGAAATCCACAAAACTGATATTAAATATAAAAATATGATATGTTCGGGCTGCCTCAAAATTGTTTATATATATTTTTTTTTAAATTAGTTTCCTTAGATTTTGCAAAAAATAATTTGAATTTTCCTTCTATTAAATTCGAAACTAATATAAACTGTTTTTAGGCAGCCCGAACATATCATATTTTTATATTTAATATCCGCTTTGTAGATTTCCACCTATTGACAAGATTGAGTTTGGCAGGGTTGATTAAACTCGAATAAATTAGAAGGAAAATCCAATATATTCTGTGCAAACAAAGGTTCGCGCATTAGAAAATTTCGATTGTTGCCGAGCGCTCTGATTGGGTGCAATTATACTTGCACCCAATCAGAGACCTCAAACAACAATCGAAAAAATTTTCGATTGTTCTGATGCGCGAACCTTGGTGCAAACTTTAAAGTAACTAATTAAAATAAATTATTAACTATTTAGGATGCAGCCCGAACATATCAATTTTTATATTTAATTACCGTATTGCATTTTTCCACCTATTGGCATGATTGAGTTTGAAAGAGCTGTTTAAACTTGATTAAAAGTGATGGAAAATTCAAATTATTTTGTGCAAACTCAAAGGGGACTAATTAAAAAAAAATTAACTATTTTGAGCATAAAATTTCTGTTCAACTTGTAGCGAGAGAACAAATGAATTGAATAGGAAGACGAACATATTTATATTTAATTTATGCTTTGTAGGTTTCCACCTATTGACATGATTGAGTTTGACAGGGATGATAGAACTTGTTTAGAACTGTAGGAAAATTTAATTTATTTTGTGCAAACTCAAACGGAACTAATAAAAAAAAATATTAAATATTTTGAGGCAGCCCGAACAGGTCTTATTTTTATTTTTCATATCAGTTCTGCATGTTTCCACCTAATGACATAGCTGACATTAACAGTAATGATTGAACTTGTTTAGAAATGAAGGAAAATTCAAATTATTTTGTGCAAACTCAAAGGAAACTAAATTAAAAAAAATATAAACTATTTTGAGGCAGCCCGAACATATAATAATTTTATATTTAATTACTGTTTTGTAGATTTCCACCTATTGACAAGATTGAGTTTGGCAGGGTTGATAAAACTCGAATAAAATAGATGGAAAATTCAAATTATTTTGTGCAAACTCAAAGGAAACTAAAAAAAAAATATTAACTATTTTGAGGCCCGAACATATTATATTTTTATATTTAATATCAGTTTTGTAGTTTTCCACCTATTGACAAGATTGAGTTTGGCAGGGTTGATTAAACTCGAATAAATTAGAAGGAAAATCCAATATATTTTGTGCAAACTTTAAAGGAACTAATTAAAATAAATTATTAACTATTTAGGAGGCAGCCCGAACATATCCATTTTTTTTTTAATTACCGTATTGCATGTTTCCACCTATTGGCATGATTGAGTTTGGCAGGGTTGATTAAACTCGAATAAATTAGAAGGAAAATCCAATATATTTTGTGCAAACTTTAAAGGAACTAATTAAAATAAATTATTAACTATTTAGGAGGCAGCCCGAACATATCCATTTTTTTTTTAATTACCGTATTGCATGTTTCCACCTATTGGCATGATTGAGTTTGAAAGGGTTGATTAAACTCGAATAAAATAGAAGGAAAATCTAATATATTTTGTGCAAACTCGAAGGGAACTAATTAAAAAAATTTTTTTTTAACTATTTCGAGGCAGCCTGAACATGCACTTTTTTGTATTTAATTTCTGGTATGCATGTTTCCACCTATTGACATAACTGAGATTAAGAGGGCTGATTACACTTCATTAGAACGAAAGGAAAATTCAATTCATTATATACAAACAGATCGTTCACCACATTACAATAATTTATTACTATTTTGCAAGTGCCGTGCAAACTTACTCTTGCTATAATTATGATTGCCGTTTTATTAGTTTCCACCTATTGACGTAAACGAGATTAGCACAGCTTGTATATCTACCATAGGTGTGCATGAATATTCAAAGGTTTTAGTGCAAACTCTATTCAATGATATTTAAATATAATTAAATTCGTGGATCGGTTCCAAATATCCATTCAATTTCTTATTTTGCCGTCTTTGCTTTTCTATGAATAAATATTTATCAACTATTTGCATTTTTTTATCTTTATGCGTTCATGTCGCGATGATTTATATAAATTTTTTCATGACATTGTCTCGGTTTTAGTGTTGATAAGAAATTATTTGTTTCGCGTAAGGCCGCATTCGCGTTGGAGACGGCTCTGGGAGCCCCCACCTCGCGATCGTACCGCCAGCAGCGATGCCATGTCTCCTGCACGGCGAGTGCCGGCCAGAGCGCCACTTTCCATGCTATTGCTTATCCATTGCTGCCTGCGAAGCAGACCCTCACCCAAAGCTTCTTAGTGCTTTATTTGTTAGGAAAGTCAGGAATAGCATGGATACGAATCATGTGAGTTTGGAGGTTGTAGTTTTGGACTATTTTCTTGCATACAGTCCACTCAACCATCTTGGAATTTTCCATTTTACAATATTTTATGTGTTCTTCATATTGTGATTTTAAAATTAATTTTCTGGAACAAAGCTTGCACCTGTAGCTAAATGTGATAAGGTTGTGAATTTGAGCAAGATGCTTTTGAAAACGAGACTTGCAAAGATACAACTTTTGGCAATGAGCACAAGAGAATTTGTGCCTGGCAGTTTTGTGGTGCATCCTTTTTGTGTGTTTTTTTAAAAGCAGTTTTGAAGAAAAGTATTTTGAGCAAGTCTTGCAACGGATTTTGCGTTCTTTTAACTGGAGACCCTTAGCAATATGTCCCAGATGGCTATTTATGTGATACCTAAGCTCATATTTTTTAAAATACACATTTGGACAAAAATCACACTTGAAAAGCAGACCCCTGCACTCTTTTTTATGTTTTTTTAACAACTCTGAGCAATCAAAAGTTCTTTCACATTTTCTACAAGAAACCTTCACAAAATGTATGCAATACGAAAATGCAGAAATTTGCAAATTACAGGCAGGGCATGTCCTAAACTTGTGTTTAATTTTGATATGAAAAGACAAACTACTTTTACTAATTAAAATGGCAGGGCACATTGGACAATTAAATATGTGCTTTGAAATTTTGTGCTTCTTGGCTTCATGGTTAGCAAGTCCAATTTTCCGTTCAAATTTGCAGTCACAGATTGAGCACTTGTGCTTTTTTGACTCTTCAAGACCTCTGTGTTTTGTATTCATATGAACTTCCAAATCGGCCTTAGTTTTAAAAAAATCACCACACCTCCCAACACGGCACTTGATGGCAATTTCTGAATGGCACCATCTGACGTGCTTGTACAATGTCTTTCTTGTAAGGTCCTGTCTTGAGCAATAACAGCAGTCGTGTAGCACCTGCTCTTTAGGTTTCAAGTGATATTCTTGTATATGTTTACACTTTTCTTCCTCGGAAAGAAAATATTTACTGCATTGAAGATAATCACACCTGATAGCAATATCTGCATGCATAATTCGAATGTGCTTTGAAATATGACAAAAGTGACAGTGTTTTTTGCAGTACACACACTGCACACTTTTGGAAGTAACTGCATATTTTCTCCCAATTTTTCTTTTCACTGGTTTCTCTATGTTTGTCTCATCCAAGCTCTTGTCAGATGATGATACATAAGAAATTTCGGGAACTTTCATCAGCGGCACCCAGCATTGCTTTATGTATTCAGCTGGAATAAAAAAAGAGAAATAAGTTAAACCAATTTTAATGTGTATATAATAATTTTTGTATAACAAATCAAAGTAAACACGGGCTCACCTTTGTAGTAATTTCGAAGACTAAATTCCTTGCTTGCCCCTTCTTCAGGCCACCACCTCATTTTGTCTAGTATTCCACGTTGCGCATTTTTTTCATTTTCAAAAAGTAACCTTTGATTTAAAAAAGAAAAAATTATTTCATTTTTTAAATAAGATCGATAATATAATTACAAACCTTGCGTCCCAAACGCAGAAATAGCAAATCAGGTCGTCGGCCTGGACTTCTTCGGCCAAATTTGTGCCCAAGAAGTTCAAGCACCACTCTGAAAAATTATTCAAATCCAATTCGGCCGCCCGATAGCCGCCGTCGGCCGCTGGCCGCTCGCAAAGGCGACACAATTTGGCCCACATCTTTCGATGATTCAGCGCCACTTGTTTTGTTTGGGTGACCAGCTGGGCAGCGGCGGCAGCGGCGTGTGCCTCTCCTTAATCCTACCCTCATCCTATTGGCTGCTTTCAATCACTTTTAAATTATGAGGCACAAAAGCGGGAAAAATACCTGCAAAGGAAGTTCCCAACCACGGGGAACTTTTGAAATGAAATCTCGACTAAAAAATTAAGTAAATATCACCTATAATTTCTAATTATGCGAACAACCTTCACTCATGTTGTAAACAAATAATTTGTTAATTAAATATATTTATTCAAAGTACAAAATTTTGGCTTATTAAAATATCCGTTTATTTCTATTCCCTCTCTGCTTCTTAATTTTCTATACCCTGACGTTTTAACCTGAGAAAATGTCAAGAACCCCTCAAAATTAAATAATAATTTGCAAATTCTTACTAGAATTGTGTTTTCTTACAAATTAATTTAAATGGTTAAATTGATAATTTTTGTGCATTAAATTACTTAAGTGAGATAAAATATATTTTATTAATTAAAAGTATTTTTAATCCCTGCAATATTTTGTCAAAACTTTGTAATAAACTGCTCTCTAACTCTAACAATAATCAAGTTGCAAAAAACAGCCGTCTTGCTAACGCTGTTCTTTTTACTTTTCTTTTACTGTTCCTCTCATTTATTCATTCCATCACCCTCTGAGCTTATTAGCGAGCAGAGAAAAGTTGATCGGCGTCAATAACGTCTCTCGGCGCGGATTCTTTTCCTTCCGAGTCCTCCGTCGACGGGGGCGCCGCATTAGGATCGGTTCACTGCTTAAATGAAACTTCTGCGTGGCCTCTCTTTATTTCCATAATTTAATATCCCCCAGGTCTTGGTGGGTGCCGCCGTCGTGGCTGATAATATAACACTCATTTCTTCGCCGCGAGAGAGAGAGAGGGAAAAATTTTGCTCTTAACTTTTTGGCTGAAGGGAAATGAAACTTGGCGGCGCACTGGAAAACTATAAATATTCCATCTCGTGGCTTTTTGCTCTCTGCTTTTCCTCAAACGATTATATTTTTCTGCAAATGAGTTTGTACGTCTTGGAGAGTATATGTGCGCGAAACAGAAAAGAAGAAATGAAGAAAATTAGACCCGCCGGTGCTGCTGGTATATTTTTCTCGCGTGTATTTTTCACTTTGTAAATCTTCTCCGGCGGCTCAGCTCTCTCTGCGGTTTAATTTCGCGCTCGCTGACTTTTGCTGCGCAATGAAATATGTTTACGTTATACATTTCGCATATTTATTTTCAGCTCCAGAGTAGGTTTTCCGCCTAGAGTAAAGAAGAAAATCAACGAGTCGCAAATTAGGAAGTGCAAAAGCCAAATGATTTGCTGGTTGTTTTTACTTTATCCATGCAGCCGCGTCTCGACTTTGCGTGGTTTTTTTTAACAAGTAAACAATTTTCCTTCACACGAAACAACTCATTTTATCACAAATTTTTATTAAAGCATATAATGCGTTGAATTTTTGCTTTACAATATTACAATATTAAGCATGAACTATATTAAAAACAAAATTTATTTTATTTTATTGAAATTGAAAAATTGATTTGGAATCTACATATCCCTCAATTTATCTCATGCTTTCTGACAGAAAAAGAATTATTTTGATAAAAAAAGCTTAAAATAAGCAGACTAATTAGTGTTGATTTTTGCATTTTTATAAAAATTATTCCGCGCACGCCTTCCAGACTTTCAAGTTGATTTTAAAAAATTACTTGAGTAAAAAAGCAGTCACTTTAACGGATCAGGGTTTATGTGAGGCGTCAAGAAAATTAATGATCAAATTATTCTCAATGGAACAAAAACATTGGATTTTAAATTTGAGAACACATTTTTATGTCATAATAATATTTGATTTTTACATTCCAAATGTAAGATATATTCAACATTCAAACCCACAGGGAAATTTTTTGTCTTTTCCAGCATTTAATGATATAAATTCCTATTCGCAGATTTTTTTCCCTCTCTACTTTTTTCTTTCAAAAAATTCACCATCGTCATCAGTCACGGAAATCGAGCCAGCGTGATCTCATTAAGGATTTTTGCGCTGACAATGAGAGAGATAAATTTTTGGAAGGTGCGCGCAAAAAAGCGAGGACTCGTCATATATTGTCGAACGGGGGTGTCGCCTGCTTTTTCCCATGGCGGCCGAAATAAAAAAGATGAACGGCTCATCCGCCCTCGCGTACAAAAGTAATTTGTCGATTTGCGCGCGTGTCACGCTCCGTTCTGCCCGGCGGAGAGCGATTTTTCCGCGAAAAAAAAAAAACACCAGAGCGAGGTGGGCCGCCCTACGCATAGGCGTGAAATGTATAAATGTTTATCTTGCGTACGGGTTGGCCGCGGCGAGTATTTGATTTCAATCTAGGGGCGCATTACGTGCGTATTAAAGCCCCCGTAACCCCGACGTTGGGTGTGTGTGATATACCCCATAAAATATAACGAGCTCGCATATCGTAAATTCGCTAAAAACGGCCGTGGAAATTACTGCTGCGCGCCGCCACGCACCACAGGCGTGCAGACCCGCCCGAAAAGCAGGCATCGCTAGTGCCAATAATATCGCAGCCGAGCAAAGCAAGCCAGTCGTTTAGCCGAGACCGGTTTATGAAGTGCACCCCAGCCTAATAAAAAGCAAAAGGAATAAAAGAAGCAGGGGATAAATTCGGATAGGTGCGGTTCTAAAATAATTTACACAGCATCCCCTCTATACAGTCTCCTGTAATTGAATTAGTGCATTTTTGTGGCCGATTTTTTTTTACGAATTACTTTATTTATTTATGCCTTTTCTCGATGAACTTAAAAATTCAAAATTTTAATCATTTTAATACAATTAATTGCTTTTTGTATTTTCTTGATAACCAGCTCATAAATATCAAAGTATAACCTTATAATTATTATTTTCATTATTATTTAAACAATTTTAGCAATCATGTCAGAGATCAGAGAAATTTGTTTCTTCAAGAAATGAAGGATAGTGTTATTTGTTAGTACACATTTTTACTGTTTTTACTTTGAAATATCGTAAAAAGTCTGTAATTTTAATTTATATGTCATGCTCATTGAATTTGTAAGCGTATCAAAGAATCATTTTATTTCATATTACTTTTATTTGAGCAGGATTCACACTCAACAGTTGAAATTTAATTTAGTATTCATGGATAAAATCAGATTTGGAAAATCTAATTTCTTTTTCCTCGCCAGCAATATCAACAAAGATTAATCCAGCGCATTAACACTTCATTTCAAAGCCGCTCCTTTCTCCTTTGGCAAAACAAACTAAGCGCGCGCTTTAATTAGGATAATTGGATTTGCGATTCGATTAGCCAAGCCGCCCCTAAACTCAAAGGGTGATGCTTTTCGGAAAGCGTTGTGTTTGCTCCTCTCTCGTTCTCGCCCATCAAAAGAGCGGGCTGCGTTTTGTTCGTAGCGAATGCCGCCAAAACAACATGCGAGCTTTTGAATTTGCATACGAAATTAGATGCTCACAAATAGTTGTAGCCAAAATTTGTTGCGCAACGCTTTTGATACGTGGAGCGTTTCCGAATTCGATGATGATGTTGTGCTCGTGAATAAATAAACATTCGCCTCCTGCTCGTGGCAAAAGGGCGCACGTTGATATTGTGAATTAATCAAAATAGCTCATTTTTTAATTTGAAATTCATTTTTGATATGATAGGAAAATTTGATTGCTGTTTATGAAACATTGAATATACAAGTTTTTATGTACATTTCAATGTACACACTATAAGAGTTGGGTTCATTTTTTCTCTCTATAAATTAATACAATTTTTCGAAATCAAAGTATAACACAAAAATATATTCAGATTTTTACTATCCCTTGATATTACCTAGTATGGCTAGTATATAGTAAATAAATTGTTTTATAAGTGAAAATATAAAATAGTTAAAAATTATAATGTAATTTTGTAATTATATGGAATGAAATTGCACAAGTTTCTTTTATTCGATTTGATATTGACCCGCGGTGTTTAGGTTAGATCACCGCAAACGGTTGCGGCTCTGTATTGTGCGTTCTCACAACGCAAAGCGATATATAGCAATGCACTTTGGCTTCACAATGAAGTTTAATGAGTCCTCAATAGCCCAAGAATGCAAAACAATTTCGGCAGCTTTATTAACTTTTTTTGCCCAACGGGGTCTACGTCGATTACCCGTAAGAAAATCACATACATGAACTTAATTTTGTTCGCCAACATTTATCGGTTTCGCAAAAAAGTAAAGGCATTTTGATGTTGCTGGTCTCTCTGTCTCCTGGCTCGCGCGTGGTGAAAGGAAATAATATCCTGCTGGTGCTGGCGATGATGAAAACATGAACTGTGCGGTCATAAGAGCAGCAAATTGTTTTCCAGCCGATTGAGTAATTTATTAGCAGCAGACACTGAGCAATGTATAACACAAAATGAAACGATATAGGCGCGACGACAATGAAATTCCTTCAATATGTATGTGTCCTCTGACCTTAAATCTAAATTTTGTAAATCGACTCATATAGCATGTTAAATCGTGACATAGAATAGAATAAAAATAGGAAAATTTAAGATATGTATGCAATTATATGAATGGCATTAAGTTCAGAAGTAATTAAATGAATAATTTCAAATTTAATACAAAATATATCAGAAATATAATATCATTATACATACACTAAAAGCTTTTAACAAGAAAAAATTATTTAACGTTTAATTTGATCACTCTCAATTTTAATTAAAAGATATCTTCTCAAAATGCAATAAATATTAAAAAATTTTTTAATTAATTATGAATTTGTAATTTTTTCCTTTTTAACCTTGTTTTTATTTTATTTGTCATTATTTGTTATATCTGAAATTTATCAAAAATATTATTTGCTCATTATATAAATGGCCGCTTGTACATGAAGTTCAATTTCTCATACTTAATAATGATTTGGTATTGCTTTAATCAATTAACAGAAATTTTACAAGGGGAAATTTAAATATCTTCTTTTAA